CATGTTGTGCTTGGACTCTAGTTCACTGCACTGTAGTCAGGAAATTATCCTCTGATAGTGAGCTAGGTGACCATGGGGCTCACCTCCCAATTTCCCTTTCTCTAAGGACTGCACTTTATTATGTCTTTATCTTAGTTATTCATTTCTGAGGAGTCACAAATTATTAATAAGCTGCCTTGTCACCTCAAGGCAGCTACCTGAACTGTACATACAAGAACCTGAAAGAAATACCCAGATGCAGTCTAGGGCTTCTTCTTGACCTTTTTATCGAGACTAACCTGACTTCACTCTGTAGTTCACCTATTACCTGCCTCATTGGGGAGACATGGTGGAGTATAATTTCCTATGGGCTCACTGTACTCCACCCTTTCTTTCCCACTGATCTGAGATGCTGCGGTATCCTTCCCCACTAGAGCTGAGGGAGGCCTGCTATATGCTGGGATTCGCCTGAACAGTCTACCCAATTTTGTGGTAGCTAGAGGAGTTACTGGTCACGTCTCTGTGTTTTTAGCTTCTAATGTCTCCCACCCTCCAATTACCTGAAGCAGAGTAATTACTCCTCAGCCTGTGTTATTTTTGTCTGTGTATGCCTCTCTGCCCAGCTGATCTACCTACTTTTCCAATATTGGATGGTCTTCCAAATTCTCCTTTTAGTACTTAATTGATATCCCAACAAGTCAGGTTACAGAGCAGTTAGAAACACCTGTTCTGGAGCCCAGTTGTGTAAGTTTGAATTGCAGTGCTCCCCGTTTACTTGCTGGGGACAAGTTACTTAACTTTTACGTCTCAACTTTCTTACCTACAAAATGGAGATTATCATAGTACCTCCTCTCATATTGTTAATGTGAAAAATAAATGAAATAAGCAATGTAAAATGCTTAGCATAGAGCCCAAGTCATAAAAAGTGTTTTGTAAATGTTAGCTCTTACTAGTATTATCTTTTATATGATACTTTCATTTAAAATCTTTTTTTCTCCCACTTGCCCTTTATACTTTTTTCCAAGGTGTATAATTATACAGACTAAGCAATCAAATTTCCCATTATACAGAGTTGTCATTGTTAGTTAATCATAACCTCACATTACAAAATTAACAGAACCTCCTAACCTTAAAATTCATATTTTTTCCCCAGCACTATTCCCATAACCTTCACTAATTCATTCAGTTTCCCCTCATTCTCACTGAACCATCTCTATTTTAAAATTTGTTCAGGTGTTCTAACAGACTGATTTTTAAGGGAATTAAAAGATTTTTCTTTCCATCTGTAAACATTTATTATGTTCAACGCATATTATACAGAGTAGAACAATTTAAAATAAGCATAAATAAATGTACCAACTTCTATTTAAGTATTTTCTTTTCTTATAATCCAAAACGCTAACTCCATTTTAAGAATGCTAACTCTCTGTTAATTGATCAGTCAATGTTACTGCCAAAGAAAGCTTCATCCCAATTTTGAGATGCCCAAGTATCCATCAGGGTTGTATAAACAGATATGTGAGGAGAGAAATACTCATTTTTTCCCCTTGTCTTCACTGTTCAGCAAAATTAGAGTTTATTTTTCTCTAAGGCTAAAAAAAAAAAAAAAAAGTCCAACAAATAGAAAGTTTTATTTCCTTGACATTGGTTTGTTTTTATTTTTTTAACTGGTTCTCTTTCCTGCCGTATTCAGGATACTGTTGTTATGCTAATTTTGCTTCACATTTGTTGGGGTTGTTAGTTTCCATTTAGTTAGCACCGACTATGGTGACTCCAAGTACAACAGAACGAAACATTGCCGGGTCCTGCTCCATCTTCATGATTGTTGATACCCTCAAGCCTAGTGTTGCTGCCACTGTGTATTTTGAGTGCCTTCCAACCTAAGAGGCTCATCTTCCAGCACTACATCAGACAATATTCTGTTGTGATTCAGAGTTTTCACTGCCCAGTTTTCAGAAGTAGATTGCCAGGCCTTTTTCCTTAGTCTGTCTTAGTCTGGAAGCTCCACTGAAATTTGCCTACCATTGTTGACGCTGCTGGTATTTGAAATACTGGTAGCATAGCTAGCTTCCTGCATCACAGCAACACCCAAGCCATTACAGTACAACCAACTAACACCACACTGGCTTCTTCTGAACTATAATACTGTATGTTTCCCTTCTCTTATCCTAGGCCCCCAAAGACTCCTTTTAAGCACGTTTTTCACTATGACCAGGCCTGGCTTCTTCTTTGCAGGTGTTGGTTGTCCAGACTTCTCATTTGTTTACTAGGCTTCTATTTACCATTTACTAACAAATATCCATAGAGTGTTGACTCTATGTTAAGTACTATGCTATGAATGTAGCACTGTTCTCAAAGGCATTCTGAGGGAGAAGCTTGATAGTAAACTGGGCAACCCTCCATACACAGTCCTTCTCTTCACTTAAAGATCACTAGTAAATGTATTGATCCGCTACATTTGTCTACTTTTCTCTCTCTTTATCTGATGAATTCTCTCACTATTTTCTCAGGCCTCTAAATGCAATAAGGTGCCCAGTACAAGACTCTTCTTCTCTAGCTCTAAATTCCAGTTTATAGGAAATACAGGAGATACAAGAATATGCCAAATGACATCTTGAAGAGACAACCAAAAGAAAATCCAGAAAGTGGGAGTGTCATGTGGGATAAATGGCTCAACTCTTCAGCAAGTTATCATCAATAAAAAGGGACTGCACCAGATTAAAAGACTTAAGGGACAAGACATCCAGGTACAATGTGATGTTCTGGATTGGACACTGGATTAGACAAACCAGCTATACAGGATATGTTTAGTTCATCTGGGAAAATCTGAATATGATTTGGGTGTTAAAGATGAAAATTTACTGAAACGGAAAGATGGAAATCACTGAATAAAAAGGCAGGTTGTAAAACATTATGTACAACTTGTGATTGAAAAGGAAACCCTGGTGATGTAGTGGTTAAGAGCTATGGCTGTTAACCAAAAGGTCAGCAGTTCGAATCCGCCAGGCGCTCCTTGGAACTCTATGGGGCAGTCCTTCTACTCTGTCCTTTAGGGTCGCTATGAGTCGGAATTGACTTGACGGCAACGGGTTTGGTTTGGTTGGTTTTGATTAAAATTGTATACACACACATACACACATACGTATTTTCAGAAAACCGAAAAACGTGTGTTAAAGTGTTACCAGCAGTCGTATCTCGGTGGTGAGAATGTGATGTTACTAAAAAAACTTTTTTTGCTTGATTATATTTTGTAACTTTCTATATGTCTATATATGGCTGTAATAATAAAAGCCTATTTTAAAAAAATGACTCACTTTCCCCCAGAAGCCTTATAGAAGAAATTTCATACCCTCTAATCACGCCCTGATTCTATAGGATTTTGGCATATCCTATTGCACGGTTTATCCTAAGCTACCGCATTTAATTAGGTTCTCTGTGTGTGGTCCTTGCCCCTACACTTTGAGACTTCTTTTGCACTCTCAAATCACACCTGGCAGAATATTTATTACTTTAGTAAGTATAATACATATGTAACTAATAGATACTTGCTGTCCAACATGGCAAAAACATAAACAGGAAGAATGAATGTGAAAATTTCATAGAATCTTCTTAAAATAAAGCTCAGTATTATATGAATGCGTCTATACCAGAGAAGACATTTTACCCCAAGCCTAAGAGTCACACTATTAAAAAATCCTATTATTAATACCACAATTAATCTATAAGCCTATTCATCCTATTCGGTAATATTAGGCTAGTTAATATATATTACATTCATATAACTCTAATATATAATTAAAAACTTTTCAAAACTCTTGCTAATCACAGAAAACACAGGTTCTGTAAGATACCCAGACAGTATATACATCTTTATCTGTATCTGATGTGATCTCGAAAGTGTTCTGCTTAGAACTTCCAAAATTGTAGGCAATGAGTATGTATTCACTACAAATAATGAAACTATTATGAAGATGAAAAAATTATGGGTAGTGAATATTATAGATATTTTGTCTCACTTCTTGGGAAGGCTGATAAATAGGAAATTCAAAGGAGACACGCAGTAGATGTTATGTTAATGAATTCTTTCTAAAGCATGCTTCTTTTAAAGGAACAGGATATTGGGCACAGGTGACCTCAAAGCTCTACCTAGGCAAGAATTAAATAAATTTCCTAAAAAAAAAAAATTAAAATTAAACAGTACAGATAATTCATTCCCAGGTTTCTCCTTCAGATCTCAGCTCTAGTACCAAGAGACTGGAACATTCTTCATCTTATATCAAAAGGACCATCAACAGAAATTCACGAGCAGTGAGTTCTGCATTCTCCTTAAAAGCTAGTTTTGCTTTTACTCACCTCTTTTACTCTTTGGGGGTGTGTTTTCTTTACCTAAGTTGATTTCAGGTTCTCTCCAAAAATTACTGTCTCCTTAATTATTTGAGCTGGCCGAAACACGAGGTCCTCTTTCAGACCTGATATATCAAGTTGTAAATGGTTCCCTGAAGTTGGGCTCACACATCCAGCTTTAGTGAAAACTCATGTTACTCCAGGCAGATGGGGCTAGTTGCTGAGAATGTTTTTGGTAAAAGATGAACGCCTACTAAATGACTTTCTGACAATAAAATATTTCAACTGGTTACATTCTGATACATTCTGATATTCCAACAATGTTTTGAGTTCATAAAGTACTTTTTACCCTAGGGTTTAAAAGTTTCACTCAAACATAAATCCATTAATCCCCCTGAACAGTCCTATGAAGTCAAGAGAGCATATTCTAACTCTGCATACAAAATGCTTCCAGAATGAGCTTATAAATCAGTCATCTTTTCAGCCATATGCATACAGAATTACAATTCTACATGCCCCAACAGAAAAATATGGAAATACCATACAGAGGTTGCTTTTAAATAATCTCATGCAAACATTTTAAGACTGAAAACATTTTTTCTGCTGTTAAAAAGATACATTTTAAAAGTAAATATGTGACAGATATGAGGTTGCTATAAATTCTGAAAATGACTTACCTATTAATGTAACTCAGGGCAACATAGGTTGGCTGCTGTAATTCTTGTTTTTCTAAAACACGTGGATCAGTATCTGTAATAAAAACACAATTATGATTTTTCAGCTTTTGCATCAGAATATATGAGGCTACCTAAAAGAAGCTAACAGAGGCTAAACAGAGAAAAAGATTAATTTCGTATACCTCTTTGTAAAGAAAACTCAGTCAGTAAAGCACAATCATTTGTTCATTCGTTCATAAATAACAAGATATTGCATTACTTTCCAAGGGAATTCCAAACATCAACAGTGATAAAATGCCCATCTGTCACACAAACTCTTGCACAATCCCCCTCATAAATATTGGTTTTCACTGCTTACAGTTACAATGTTGGCATGGTTTTCAGTGGTTAATCGGACCAAGAAAGAAAGTCTCTGTTAATTATGATCATTTCAATGCTGGAACAAATTAGTTGCCATTGGAAAGGTCCATCAATTTGAAATTCTACTGAGTATTGTTCTTGTTCAATGAACACTTTTCTGGGTTTGGATTCATTTTCTGGAAGGCAGCTCTTCTTCTTAAATGTATAATGAGTTTATTATAACTCTTCTAGACTCTCAATCAGAAATTCTCATGCTGGTCCAGAGTCAACAAACACCACATTCACCAGAGGGGTTTTCCCCTTGAAGAGATAGAATTCAAGACCATGGCAACACTTCCTCACTATGCCTCTCTGGCACAACACAACAAAAGCACTTTTCACAACTAGAAATGTATTCTCAAGTTTCTCATGTAGAGAAATGACAGTGATAAATACACACAAAAACAATGTGTATATAATAAGACTATAAAAGGAGGAAAGTGAGCTCGTTTTACATTTTCTTAGAAAAAAGTTCAGACATTTAACACAGATTTAATTATAACCTCATTTAAAATCATCTCATGATTAGAAGTCTTCCAGCTGCACTTGGCAATAACACCTTCTTTGATGTAATGACAGATGTTGTTTCAAGCGCCTTGGTAGGGGAGGTGTTTACTGCGAGTGGTAGATGTAAGATACATACACTAACTTTAAAGTGCATTAACAGGTGGCGGGGGTTGGGGAGCAGACACAGTGGCACACAGCACGGGGGGCAAAAATGATAGCCCAAAAATCAATTTAGAATGCTTTTTGGCTCCCTGACTAACATGCAACAGTAGTGCCAATTTTATTCTTGGTGCTAAAGTTAAGAATCTCACGTTCACTTTATTGTTTTTTCTATGCCAAGAATTACAGGGACACTCTATTCAGAAATCCTGTTTCCTGGGTCTTTGCCACCGCCACTTTGCCTGGGTCCTTGAAAGCCAAATTCCTAACAAGAGACAAAGATTCTCTGAATGGCTCCATCGAGTCAGGTCTCAAGGTTTTGGCAGTGCAAATGAGAACAGATTAGCAGCCAGCATTTCTTCTCCTGCCTCCAATGATTACATATGCAACTGAGGCAGTTCCTAGGTGACTGGCCTATCCCTACAACCAGCATATCTCTAAATACCCAGAAACCACTCTTCTACGGATATGTATTTTTCAAACACAACCCTAACTCACACTAATCCAAGTTTACTGTGATCCCAAAGTACATCAAGGTTTCTGAGAAGACTGCTCTATGCACTTGACCTGTACTTACTGGAGAGGAGACAGTAGAACAAAGCTCAACAGAGAAAGATGTTTTGTCAAAAAAAAAGGTGTATTTGAATGCTGAGCAGACCATGTATGCAAATGATGACTGACATACCAATCCTGCAAGGTCTTTCCAGGTGGTTAACGAGGTAAGAAACAGATTGGTGACACAATCCATGGAAATGAAAAGAAAGAGGAAGATAAAGAACGAGGCAATGATTGCAGATGTCTGTGGAAAATTTCTCAAGGGCTCACAAAATAGTATGAGTTTAGGAATTGATGATCAAGAGGTTTAGCCTGTGAGACAGGGGCCTCAAATTGATTGATTAAAACACATTCTTTCAAAAGAGACATTCTGATGCGTGATGACATATTGTATATTATTCTGAAAGAAAATAACACTGCTTTAAGTCTAAAATATGAATATAATGCGGGAAAGAATAAAGGGGCCAACAAACATTTTTGTATCTTTCACTTTTGCTTTCATTCCTGTAACGGACCCCCAATCAAACAGTATTCCCACAGATCATCTTCTAAAGCTTTTGTTTGTTTCCAAATAATATAATTTCTAAAATATTTTAAATATTATCTTTCCAAGCTACCTTGATATTTTTTATTTGTGTAGAATAAGTCTCCAGGTTACGAATAACTGAATAACTCGTACTTGTCCTTGAATGTTATGTAAATTTGCCCTCACTTTGAAACGACTGAACCAACCCCTACTCACAACAAATTCATCACCACAATCACCTTCACTTGCTGCATGTGTGACTGTTAAATCACTGAAAAGGCTTAAAGCTTTCTCTTGCACTAAACGAAGGCTAAATTAGAACCGTACGCACCTGCTCCAACTTACCTATAAACTGGTCTTGAAGGCAGACTTAGGAACAGATCTCTTCCGTAACGCGGGGACTGCCTGCACACGTGTGCGTGTCTGAGTATATGTGTACACATGCATACATTTATATTATTCTTTAAACTAGTAATACCTCTTTGGTGGACGGGAGATGATAGGGAAAGAGAAGAAAGCACCTTATATAAAATTCTACAGTTATCTGATGCTCAAATAAAATGGTGTTGGCCCCTGACATTCACACAAATTGCATCTTGGAATCTTGTTTCACAAAGAATTCAATAATGTTCAGTACTCTATTTGCAAAGCAAGGTTTTGAAATTTGATTTTCTTACTTTGCTTCATCGCTTTCCATAACTTATGCTAGACTTATGCTGACATATCCTTAGATTATGAGCAGTGAAACCGACTTATAGCTTCTAAATGCCACCCTCTCCATGACAAAAAGACCATCTGGAAACACCTCAGCCAGGCTTCTTTTTTCTAGAATGCAGACTCTGTTAACCAAGAACGTAGAAGTTCTGGACAGACATCCACCAGGCCTAAAACATCTTTTTCAGATTAAACCTTTCTTTGAGCACCCTCCATAACCTCAATTAAAGCTTTGAGTTCTTGAAATTAGGTGCTTGGTGCCCACAAATCAGGAGAAGGCTGCACAAAAGGGCTACTGGAGGAAGACCATGGGCTGCTGGTCACAAATAAACATCAGTTCCATCCCTCGTTTCCTGGCTGACTGCTGTGTGGTGATCATGACTTACCATTTTACAGATTTAATTACACTGTTAATCATTTCACATTCAGTAAAAATATAACAGCTGCTTTCATTATTTCTTCCTCTCTGACAAAAAGTAACTGTTGCTAAAAACTCACCCCAGGAGAGGACTAGAGAGACAACAGACTTGCATTTTCACAGCAGGACGGCCTGCTGGTACTGCACAATGACATATTCCTCATGAGGATTAAGAAAACAGAATGAACATTATCAAAATGAAGTGGAGAGATTAAAATCAAGTTGAATTCAACAACATACCCCAACTTCCTTATACCACGTGCCACACTATTGAGTAAATTTTGCATAAGTTGGTACAGTAAGAAATATAATATGGATTGGAATGGCTATAGTACACAATCTCCCAGATATTCCTCTGGTTTGTTTCTTTATGGCACAAATAGAAACCTGGAACTGAAATTGTCTACAACTGCCCAGAGATATAATCCACCTCAGTAAATAGGTCATCTATGGGACAAAAAAAAGACCTAGAATTTTTCATAGCCATATGATGCTTCTTAAGCTGGGAACCGGGCAACAAAGACAGTATTTATATAATAATGGCTGTCTACAGACACCACTTTTATATCTCTAAGAATTGATGGACGATAAACCCAAAATTTATCAGCAGGGCAGGGTGTTCCCAAACACAACATGAACAGAGATTATGAGAGTGTTTTCTGCCTCATGCCACCCTTGCACACTCAGATTTCAAGTTGACTGAAAGCTAAAGGAATTAAATATTAAAATGCATTAAAAAATATCCTAGTGATAAAAGCCTATCAGTTTGCTTCAAAGCTTTAAAACACAACATCCTCTAAAGTAAACAGCAATGTGCCTCTTCTACTCATTGTTATCTCAGGGAAATACTTTGAATGCACAGCTCTATAATGATTTACCTACATAACACTAGACAGAGTGGAAGCTTTCTGCAGCTCATATGGTCCTAGTGACTCATGGTTTTACAGATTCAATTAAATGGCAAAGGGCTTGATGTTACAGCGTTAGCTCCCATTGCTTCTCAAGTGGAAAGGAAAAAGCAAGGCAGACGGCAGAAATAAGGACAGGACAACATTCAGATCCTTCTCAACAGGAACAGAAATTGCAACGCGCCCAAGGAAAGGCAAACACCACAAACCACCTTGTTCAATCAATAAGGCCCATATTCATCGGCTCTGCTGTCTCCTGCCTTGGGAACTAATGACAACGAGTGTTTGGATTTACAAGGTTTCTAATAGCCTTTTGTAGTGTTATCTTCAAGCCTAAAGGAGAATTCTACCAGGCCTGTTTGCTGGGTTGACTCAGGCTAATTAATGAGCTCATGGACTCTGGCTATGCTTTAGCTAGTCAACATTGTTGGGGTTTATATACCTGGAACTACTTACAATTTAGGAAAGTCAGAAACCAGCCACAGTACCTCTCTCAACAAGACTAAAGAGGCCTCCGTTGGAATGAGGATTTGCAGGCTGGAAGGCAGCAGTGAGGGGAAGGCATGACATCACGCCTCAAAAAGGCCTTCCTCAAAGTACACCCTCCAAACGCCAGGATCTTTTCTAAGTGAGTTTGGCCAGGATCTTTTTCTAAGTGAGTTTGGCCAGGATCTTCTCTAAGTGAGTTTGGCAACAGCAGGAGGCCTGAGAAGATGTGAGTAGGAAGGCAGTGGAGGATTTGCAGCACTGGAAGACCCTGGCTGGAAAGCCCACAGCCCCACTCAACCAGATGAGTGATTTCAAAGATCTGGGCTGGATATGCCACTTTTCTTTGGACCCACTCAGTAATAATTAATGGGTAGTGTCTGTTCTCAGCCTTCCCACACGTGGTTCCACTCATAAAAGCTGCAGAGTTTTAAAATTTATCCAGCGTGGACTTCCACAAAATCCCTCCCTCCTTACTCTGCAGCACTTCATTCCTAGCGCCCTCAATGTTCTTATGTCCTGTGGGTATATTCTTGCCCCTCCACACTTCTCAGGAACTTGCATCTCTCTAGCACTCAGCTCAGTGCTTGGCATGCATGAAGAAGATGCACAATACGGCTGAATGAATACACTGACCGATTTATTTTATGATGAGAAAACTGAAGACTTTTGATTAAACATGGCAGATTGACCACGGGCATTTGTTTTCTTTATCATCAAGACCCCATTAAAAATGAAAACAGAATAAAAAACTCACTAGGGATAGAAAAAAGGGAGAGGGCACATTAGCAGACAAATGATTTCAATCAGTATTTTGAAGACAGAAAATCTATGTTGTTACGTTAGATGCCATCAAGTTAATTTCAACTCATAGGGACCCCATGTAACAGAGTAGAACTGGACTGTAATATTTACGGGAGCAGATTGCTAGGTCTTTCTCCTGCAGAGCCACTAAGTGGGTCTGAACTGCCAACCTTTCTGTTAGCAGCCGAGCACTTAACCGTTGCGCCACCAGCGCTCCTTAGAACACTTACACAGGAGTAGAAACTGACCAAGAGTGAAGTTACAACCTAAAGTGCCTACAGTGGTGAGACCCTGATTCAGCCAGTAGCTGAACCCCCCTGCAGAAGGCCTAAGAGATCCTGTCTGGGAAGTGCCAGGTGTGGCAAAAGGCAAGAGGTAGGTTCAGGGCTGAAAACAGGAGGACTGTTTTAGAGGCTGATTATTCAGATACACTGAACCAGGACACCAAACAAAGCAGAGTGGGAGGTGGCAGTAGAGGGAGCACAGGACCGAAAACAGGGAAACTAAAATGGAAATATGCTTCCTTCATGCTCCCAAGAACACTGGCAGTCAGCCAGTGAGAAGGACTCATCTCTGATTAAAGTAATGGGTGTAGAGAAAAGACCTCCAGCCAACATCTGGTGATTCCCTAATCAAATAACCTTCCTACAGTGAAGTCCATGGTCAACAAGCTCGACCCATGCCTCCATCCACAGCCTCCCATCTGTTTTTTACTGCCTCAGTCTTAAACATGCAAATAATAGTCAAGGGATGAACACTAGACATTTGATGAAAATGTCTCAAATATGAATGAGAGATAACAAAACCCAAATTGGGAGGAAAAGAAGGGAGGGAGGGAGGAAGGAAGGAAAGAAAGAAACCAGAAAGGCAGGTAGGAACAAAGCAGCAAAAAAATCAAAGCCTAGGAGGTTGTCTACTTCCACAAACCCAGCTGATGACAAGGCTAGGTTCAGAACTCCTGAGTCCCATCAGGCCAGCATTCTAACCTCTAAAAGAGGTTGCTCATCCTCGGAAGTCATTGCTACCATCCGGTTATAACACTGAGCTCCATACAGACATTCTTTACAGCTTTCTTAAAAGCCCAGCATGGTTCTGTTGCAACTTTCACTCCACTTTTAAGATCGAATTTGATCAACCAACTATTTACAAAGACCAACTCTTTAATTCACGGCTAGTTTACTGCAGCTGCTGAAATAAATATTTCTTGTTGGCAACAGCCCTTTCAAAAAAAAAAAACCAATCCTACAATTGCACATAACCAGCCTTTGAATGGATCAACTTTTCCTTAGTTTATAGACACGTCATTTAAAACTTTTCCCAAGCCATAATTTCCATTACAAGGCAGTCAGTGCAAATTACAGTGAGATTCTTGCCTTCCCAAATCCAATGTGAAATCCAGATGCAGTTAAGTGTTGCCATAAACTTTATGAGCTAAATATCTAAAAGTCGGGGACACTGCAGCACAATTACACCCTCTATTAAAAAAGAGCACTCACGTTCACATTTGTAGCCTGAGTTTTCCTGCCACAAGCAAATAAATAACAGTATTCAACAAAGAACTGTTTGGACAAAGCTCCAGGAGGCTCATTTATAAACAAACACTACATGTTGCAGGCTTCAGTATTTCTGGCACGGCCAAGAAGGTCAAAGTTATTTAGAAATAGTTCGACTAGGATACTCTCTAACTCTTTATCAACCCATCAAAATCCTAAGGTCACCATAGGAATGGTAGCTATTTTTCCCTAAGTATAAAATGTATAAAACAAACAAACAAACAAAAACACCAAATCAGTTGCCATAGTGTCGACTCTGACTCATGGAGAGCCCACGTGTATCAGCAAAACTGTGCTCCATAGAGTTTTCAGTGACTGATCTTTTGGAAGTAAATCACCAGCCTTTAGGTTAGTAGCTGAGCAGTTAACCATTTGTGCCACTCAGGGACTCCCATAAAATGTGTAGTCCTACACATATCAAAATGACATTATTAGTCCATACTCTTCAGTGGTGACAAGGTATTGCTTATCCACCAGGACTCTCACCTTACTACCACATAGATAAGAGAACCTGCCAGAGACCATCATGGCTGTCAGGTACACCAGTGAAGTGTACAACCTAAACATCTGTATACAACAGCCCTGGGGACTGGGGTCAATCTGGGACTAATGAATAAGGAAATGGTTTCAAAGAGGAGTAAAGCCAAAACTTGGTGTCCTTTAACCCTAGGTGCACATGTGGGTGCACAACACACGTCCTTCTGCTTCCCCAGAAATGAACCTCATGATGGATCCAAGCAGTATGTGCTACAAAAGACCATGAGGGAGCATCTAAGGAAGTTTTAGATATCACTTCTACCCATGGAAAGAGCCTATAAGTAGGTTATCTTAACTAGATACCTCCCTGGTGGGTGAAGCTAGATGACAAGAGAAAAGGCAGGGAGAATACCAAGCCCGTTGTTGCCGAGTCACTTGCAACTCACCCTGAAGGACAGAGTAGAACTGCCTCACAGGGTTTTCCAGGCTGTAATCTTTATGGAAGCAGACTGCCACATCTTTCTCCTGTGGAGCAGCTGGTGGGTTTGAACTGCCAACCTTCTGAGTAGCAGCCAAGTGCTTAACCACTGTGCCACCAGGGCTCCTCCAGGGAGAATAATCCATTGCTGTCCAGTCGATTCTGACTCATAGTGACTCCACAGGACAGAGCAGAAGTGCCCCATAGGGTTTCCAAGGAGCAGCTGGTAGATCTGAACAGCCGACCTCTTGGTTAGCAGCCAAGCTCTTCACCACTGTGCCACCAGGGCTCCTCCAGAGAAAATGTTGTTGTTAGGTGCCATCGAGTTGGTTCCGACTCACAGCGACCCCATGTACAACAGAATGAAACACTACCTGGTCCTGCACCATCCTCACAATCGTTACGTTAGAGCCCATTATTGCAGCCACTGTGTCAATCCATCTCATTGAGAGTATTCCTCTTTTTCGTTGACTCTCTAGTTTTCCAAGCATGATGTTCTTCTCCAGGGACTGATCCCTCCTGACAACACATCCAAAGTATGTGAGACACAGTCTTGCCATCCTTGCTTCTAAGGAGCACTCTGGTTGTACTTCTTCCAAGACAGATTTATTCATTCTTTTAGCAGTCCACAGTATATTCAATATCCTTCTCCAACACCACAATTCAAAGCCGACAATTCTTCGGTCTTCTTTACTCATCATTCAGCTTTCACATCCATAGGAGGTGACTGAAAACTTCATGGCACACCTTAGTCTTCAAGGTGACATCTTTGCTTTTCAACACTTTAAAGAGGTCTTCTGCAGCAGATTTATCCAATGCAATGTGTCTTTTGATTTCTTGACTGCTGCTTCCATGGGTGTTGATTGTGGATCCAAGTAAAATGAAATCCTTGACAAC